AGCCTAGCTCCATCCTCTTTTGAACCCCCCTTCAGGTACTTGAAGGCTGCTATTAAATCTCCCCTCAGTCTGCTCTTCTCTAGACTAAATAAGCCCCGTTCTCTTAGTCTTTCCTCATAAGTCATATCCCCCAGCCCCCTCACCATTTTTGTTGCTCTGTGCTGGACTCTCTCCAGTTTTTCTACATCCTTTCTGTAGTGGGAGGCCCAAACCTGAACACATCACTCCAAATGTGGCCTTACCAGTGCTGAATAAAGGGGAATAATCACTTCCCTTGACCAATGCAGCCCAGTATGCCGTTAGCCTTGGCAACAAGGGCACACTGCTGGCTTGTGTTCAGCTTATTGTACACTGTAACCCCCAGGTCCTTTTCTGCAAAGCTGCTACCCAGCCAGTCAGCCCCCAGCCTGTACTGATGCATGGGATCCATTGGTAAAGGATTTTGTTTTTTGTGAAGTTGACAGTGAGCCCAAGCATTTCATATGCTTCACAAAAGCAATCAAGAGTGACTTGGATCTCTTCACACAACACAGTTATGAGTGTATTGAAAATCAGTAATGGAGGTGTTGATTTTCTTGGCTTTGGAACATAACCAGTTGATGTTAAAGAGATCTTTCCATCAATCATCTGTGTATTTATCAAAGCTCTGATGATTGTGACGGTTCTGGGCACAAACTATGCTGTAGTTAACCAGATGCCAGGGATGCACTCTGCTCAAATTTGTAGAAGACACCAAACTATGGGGTATAGTAAACACACTGGAGGGCAGGGAGCAAATTCAGGTGGATTTGGACAGACTGGGGAAGTGGGTGGATCAGAATAGGTTGCAGTTTAACAAAGATAAGTGCAGGGTGTTGCACCTGGGGAGAAAGAATCTCCAATACACCTGTGGACTGGTAAGTCCCATTCTGAGTACCACAGCAGTGGAAAGGGATCTTGGAGTCTTGGTCGATGCAAAAATGAACATGAGTCACCAATGTGATGAGGTAATAAGTAAGGCTAACTGCACTCTTTCTTGCATTAGTAGGTGCATCACAAGCAGGTCTAGGGAGGTGATACTTCTCCTCTGTGTAGCACCGGTGAGACCTCAATTGGAGTGCTGCATCCAATTTTGGGTTCCGCCCTTCAAGAGGGATGTGAATAACCTCGAGAGGGTTCAGAGAAGGGCTGTGGTTGAGGACCTGCAGGTAAGATCCTATGTAGGCAGACTGAGGGACCTGAATCTCTTCAGCTTCCGCAAGAGAAGGCTGAGGAGTGATCTTGTGGCTGTCTACAAATTCATCGGGGGATCAGCAGGGAATAGGGGGTGCTCCATTTACCAGGGCACCCCTCAGGATTACTAGAAATAATGGCCACAAACTAAAGGAGAACAGATTTAGATTGGACATCAGGAAGAAATTCTTTGAGGGTTCCAAAATTTGGAATGGGCTTCAAAGGGAGTTGGTGCTCTCTCCTACCTTGGAGGTGTTCAAGAAGAGATTAGACAAGCACCTAGCTGGGCTTACTTAACCCCAGCACTCTTTCTTGCCTAGAGGAGGGGGTCGGACTTGATGATCTTCAAGGTCCTTTCCGACCCTAGAAATCTATGAAAATCATGTGCTTCAAGGGTCAGTGTATATGCACTGATAACTTCTACATGTTGTCTTTTGTTCAGCTGATGATGAAGGGTCATGAGGGATGCTTGTTGATGCCAACTAGACATTCTGGCATCTGAATAACAGTCTTGGTCTTAATAACAAAGCCAACACCACAAATTTCTTTGTCTTTTTCAGCCTTTCCTTTCCAAAAAAGGTGTAGCCACCATGGTCTGTGAGCTGCCCCTAGTCTTACTAAGCGCAGTGATGTCAATATCAAATCATTCAAGTTCTCTGGCTACGAGCGCTGTCCTTCACTCCAGTCAGTCACCCTGAGGGTTGTCCATCAGGGTGCAGACATTCCAAGTTGCAAACTTCATTACTTGATTTGGACTGCAGATAGAGAGGCCCCATTGGATGCAGTTTTCCAGTCAGGTGAAATGAGACAGGCTACATTTAGGGCATCTTTTCTATTCCCATCCCCATATGGGATGGACAGAGTGGATCATAAATAGGCCTGCTCCATCACAACGGTAGTTGCCAAATTGCACACCTGTCTCAGTTCCCAGTACAAAATGGTCATCATAATCATCACCTTCATGTAGGTCTGTGATTAGGAGCTTTTGGTAATTACTCATTGCCATAGGACTCGCTATTAAAGGAAGATGTCTGTATGTGTTCCTTTTTAATGTGGGGATGCCATTGCCACTCAATATTTCATAGAAAGGAAAACTTAATCCAATGGCAAGGAAAACCTAGATGACCAGAGGTTTCTATTCCACTTCAGTCTTCCTCAACCTTTGCAGCCATTGTAAAATATTCTTTCTTCATCCACCTACTTTGCTGTTGAGGACTTATATTTTTTTTATTTTTGGACTGCTATTAGTCTGTAAACTTTGCTCTTGACATTGCCATCATGGGTGACCCTACCAGGAATATAAAACTCCAGACAGCATTCTCTCAATGTCATTGGTAGCACAAAGGCCTTTCCACCATGTCAAGGCTGTGATCCTAAGAAGTGGATTAAAACACCTTCTACTGTCAGCACTCTTTCCCATGTAGTCACTTATAGATCATGAATAAGAAACCTCTCTGGGCCTTTTCTTTGGTAACCAAAAAGGACTGAGCTTCCTTTGTCTTTTAAGGGAGATTCTCTAGTCTTTGTATTATTCTTGTAGCTCTTTCCTGTTTGTCAGCTTTCTTTTTTGAAGTGGGAACACTGCAGCTGGATACAGCATTCAGTAATGATTTTACTATTGCCACGTTTGAGAATTCCCTACTTACTTATACACACAGGGACCACCATTTTCTCTTAAACGCTTCATCACACGGTGAGCTCACATTCATTTGGTTATCTACCATGACCCTCATTTGTAGTCAGTGGCTTCCTCACCCTATACCAAGTACTGTCTATGTAAATTGTAGTAGAGCAACACTTACAAGCGTCCTGGGATCTGTTTTAGTTATCACAGGAATGTATCAACACAAAATCCAGATCAGAACTTCTCCAATTTAGTAGTCCCCAGAGTCCCTCTCTGAAAACTGCTCAGCCCACACCTTAAATCCTCTCTCCTCCAAGGGACATCCCCACCTCCCTTCTGTGGTATTACAGATGGAATAACACAGGGGTTAGTTAGCAACACCCACTGTATATGGTCATGGCAGGGAAATTACCTAGTCACAAAGCTGGGTATTGCAGGCAAAGATTGCCAGCCTGTTATGCAGTCATTCAGCTTTTGCGCGCACACAGTATTTTTATTCTTGTTTTCATCTGAAACTGTGATATATGAAAGGAGGCATTTAATGCTATTAAATGTGATCCATAAATCATACCGGATGAATGCTTATAGCCAAGACAACCTTTTTATCTGGCCTTTAGCTTTTATATTTCCCCAGCTCTTTTGAGGGTTCAAGATATAGTAGAAATTCTAATGTCAGTTTTGGTATTTTAATGCAAACTCTACAAGAATTGCATGTTGAAAAGGTGTTTATTTACTGTGGTGTTCAATGGTTTACTAGAGTGGAAAACAGGATTTGTACAAGTGACAAAAATATCTTGAGATTAAAAGTCCTGCTGTATAATGATGTGCATTTGAGACAAAATTGACCTCTGTGTGGGAGGGTAGAACAGGTTCTATGCTGAAGGTTTACTGGGTGGGGGCGCAATGTGTTCAAAATACATATGCTAATATTATTAACACTTCAAAAACTTCTACAAATGACTTAAAGGAACTTTTTTATCTTGGCTCTATACCTGAGGATATTCCATAACTAGAAGTGAGTGTAATGTGTCTCATGTTTAGGAAGATGGGATTCTCTTCTTTCTGATGAAAAAGGCCAAGGTTTCTATTGGAATTGCTTGGACTGTAAGGGGCTGGGGCAAGAGAAATTGAAAGTTGTTTGTTCCCCCCTTAGCCTGAAGAGCCCATCAGGCTAGTGAGAGGCACAATGGAGGAATCACATGTAAGAGGGTTACAGAGGATGTTTTGAGTATGACCCTGCTATTGTGTTTGCCTGACTTGGTGACTGGCCAGCGCCCTTTAAAGTATCTGTGGCAGTTGTGATCACCGACTGGCATCAAAGCCTGGTTCTGTAAGGGTCAGTCTCTTGGGGGTCTGGTTCTTCCCAAGTCTGAGCAGGGTCACATGCCTTTGCTTGGCTTCCCTTGTATATGGGCACAGACTGGATAGCTTTCCTCAAAGAAGCTCATCTACCACTTGCCAGGAACTGTGGCCCATGTCAAGAAGATCAAAGCCTCTGCAGTTCCATAAGACTGGAAGAGACTCCCACCCCTTTTCCTTCCAGTCAGAATGATCCGTTCTTCACGTAGGGGGGCAAATGGTGGTTCTTCCCTGGATATAGTCTATGTATGTATGAATAGTTGAAGTCTCCCATTAATATTGCTTGTCCTGTTTTAGCAGTTTCTGTAATCTCCACTCCACGATAGGGTAGACTGGGCTCTTTAACCCTGGTCGGAAGCCAGTCCAGGATGGAAGCCCCAGTAGGCAGACAAATGGGTGTCCTCCAGCAGGTCCTGCATCCAAGCTGCTTCCAAACACACTAGCACCTGCCTTTCCTTTGAATTAAACCACCAAGGCTGAGAGGGGGACACTGGTGTGTGGGCAAGTCAGCGTTTCCATATACACTGCCCAGGCTTTTGTGCCCTGGAGAGGTCACTCCAGCTTTGCTTTATCTTTCAAGTGAGGATTACGTTCAGTGAGCTGACGTCTCACCTGGCGTAATTCTATTGTGTCACAAGTGTAATGTGAAAGACCCCAAGAGGGACCATGATGCCCCGTGGTGGTCACCCTGTTCCTTTTGTGCCTTCAGTCCTTTAGGCAGACAAGGTTCTTTGGGTAAATGTGATATCTTTTATTAAACCAACTCAGATAGTTGGGAAAATTCTTCTTAGCAAGTTTTGTCAGGCTGAGGAAGTATCTGCAGTTGGCATGTGCTCTTCCTGGGTGGAATGAATAGTAGAGGAGCCAGAGGCTGGTCTGTATGCAAGAAAGCCTGTCAGTGAAGACGTAAATTGAGGAGTCCGTGGGTGAGAGACAGGATGGTGGGGAGGGAGGGGAGTGAATGTAGCAAGTAAATAGTGGAGAGGTACCTGGGGAGTCAGATGTCAGGCAGGTTATAATGTGTCATAAATCCAATGTCTATATTTAGTCCATGATTTTTTATCCTGGAGTTTGATGAAGTGGAGTTCATAGGCTCGTCTCTGAGAAGTGTTTTGTAAGTTCCCTTTGAGGATTAGAACTGAGAGATTGGTGAGAGTGGTTTTCTTGTGAGAAATGTGCCCCCACCAGTAATTGGGTATTCTTGTCTTTGATACATTTCTGGTGTGCATTCAGTCTGGTTCATTCAGTCCTTTAGGCAGGCAAGGTTCTTTGAGCAGATGTGATATCTTTTATTAGACCAACTGAGTAGTTGGAAAAAAATTTTTGGCAAGGTTTCGGGCATAATCATCCTTCTTCAGGCATGGGAAGTCTCTGCTGTTTCAGTCCTTTAAGCATTCCTTTAGGCACTATTGGGACCTCCACCCACCCTGATAGCCCCAAACCCAAACCACTGGTTAGAAAACAAACTGAAGATCTGGCTTCTTCCTTAACAAATGCATCCCCATCTTGGGGTGACAGACATATGCTGTCTTTCTAACTCATCCAGTCCCGAGTTGGACAATCCTAGGGTGACCACCTTTTCAGAAGGGAAAGGCAGGATACATGCCCACTTTTTTCTCCACTCCCCCTCCCCCTGGCTGGAGCAGCGGGAGCCACAGCTCTGCACTGCTACCACCCCCAAGGTTGCTGGGTGGGCAGGGAGGACATTGCCATGGCAGTGCGGCCAGTGTGAGGCCTCCGAGGGCAGGGCAGCAAGGCGGGCAGCCCCAACCCTGCAGTGGGCAGCCACATCTGCCCCCACCTGGTGCACAAATCGGGGGGGGGCATGTGACTCCCATATGCTCCTGTCTCCTGGACGAGCCACCCGTGGCTCCATCCTGCTCCCTGCCCCAGCCCCACACACTGCCCTAGCTGGGCAGCACCTAGAGCCCCACTCCTTCCCTCACCACGAGGGGCTTAATCTGCACGCCCCATCCCCTTTAAGCCCCCTCCCCACATAGATTTACCTGCAGGGAGCTGCTCTTTATACTGCCCAGCTCTTTGCCTGCCACATGCATGTGTGCTGGCAGATGGGCACATGCACATGGTGCCCCCTGCATCCTGCTCCTGGCAGCCCCTTACGGGCTGGAATGCTGCCAGCCTGCAAGGGGAAACCTGCTGTTTCCCACAGATCCCTGCACAATGCTGCAAATCCAGGACAAATGCTGTCCCAGAGTCATGCAGCCCAGGACCAGGACTTGAAGTTCCCATTCCAGGACTGTCCTGCCCAATTAGGGATGGGTGGTCAGTCACCCTAGGCAATCCCTGGCCAGCAGTAGAACTGGCTGGTTTATTAGAGCAAATGAAATCCATTTGGGCAACTCATCCCTGGGCATCCTTCTGCCCAGCTCCTCTCCAATACCATACCAGTGTTCCTCTGCACTATCTATCTTTTCCTCCCTCCTCATGGGAGGACTCCATTCCTCTGCAGGGCTTCCTCCCAGGGCTGTGTGCCTATCACCTTCAGACAAATGCTCCCCTGCCCCAGGTGATAGTCTTTCTGATTAAGGACTAATGGGGAGCTCCCTGCTGGCTCTTATCTCACCTCCTCCTTCTGCAGCCCTTACAGTGTGTCTGATCCTGTTTCCTAACTATGGCTCCCTGTTACAGAGAGGTAGGTGCCTACTACTACTGATAGTTAGAATAGATTTTTGGTTGTAGCCGTGTTGGTCTATGGACATAGGCAAGCAGGGTTCTTTGGGAAGATGTGATATCTTTTATTAGACCAACTAAGTAGTTGGAAAAAAGTTCTTAGTAAGCTTTCAGGTGAAGTTGCCCTTCATCAGGCATAGGGAGTCTCTGCTGGGCTGAGACTCCAAGGAATAGCATTTGCAGCCAGTAGAGCAATCTGGTGGGTTTGAAATCTACAGCCCACACTTTGCTGTGATACATGCAGAACTTTGTGTACCAAAGGGCACATCTATAATGTTCTTCCTCTGCATTAGCTTCATGGTAGGTTCCTCAAGACAATCACCTAGGCTCCACAGGAGTATTCAGCATTAACACAGGGAAGGTTCAATCATTTGGGCTATGCAAATGTAGGAATAAACTGAATGTGGTATATGCCCATGGTTCCTGAGCAGCAAGCTGAATCTACAGAAAGAAAGAGTTGTGTCAGTTTAGGGCTCGGGACACTGTGTTTTGTTCTTCCCTAAATCTGCCTTTCTGGTTTGTGAGCAAAGATCTACACCAGCAGCATGTCACACCTTTCTCACCATGCACCTCTCTCCTCATAATGTGGGTGTTACAGCTTCTGCAGAACACGGAGTTAGGCATCATGAATTCACTTAGGAAGAAGGGGATGTATTTGTAGAGTCTCTCTCTTCATCTTAGGTAGGATGAAGTTCAAAACCTCCACAAATTCTCTTTCAAAAACACGAGTGCACAAAGCAAGGGACAAGGTAGTTGCTTTATGCTTCTCCTGAGTAAGTGGCCAGAACGAAAAAGAAACCATCAAGTCTTTAAATAAAGAGCGGAATCAGACTTGTCAGCTGAGGTCTTGAAAGATATATATATCCAGTGTAATACTTTGTAATAATGTTGGGTCCTAGGGTGGGGTTCAAGGAAGGGTTGGGGGTACAGATTACTTTGGTTAATAAGGCAGGAGCAATAAGTAGAACATTTTGTTTAATCAGAAATAGAAATGATGGAGTTGATCAAGATCAGGCTCTGTGTGCATGTATGTACTGCTCACTAGTCCATGCAAGATTACAATAGGTAGGTTTGGCAGTAGAAATGTGCCAACCATATCTAATTCACTGGGCTGAGTGTTTATACCACACCCTTTCTCCACAGTATAGGTAAGCTGGATCCTCCAAGTACAGAACTGATGAGTTGATGCAGAGGAGGGTGGGAGAACAGCAAGGAGCAAGCATACACTGTAAAAACCAATGACACCAGTTCCTAATCCCTGATCTGTCCCTGATTTCTAATTTGATTTCTCTTTAATGGGGTTTCTCAATGGTTTAATGGTGCAACAATCAAAAGCAAGAGAAGAGGGGCTGGATGGATAGTGAAGGGGAAGCTTCTTGTCACTGCCAGCTGAGGCGCGGTGCTGAAACAAGCTTTACCAATCAGTCCTGTTCCCTCTCCAGCCTCAGCCTGAGAGAGTCCTGTGTGTGCCTTGTGTGCGTTTTAATCAAATATGGGTCTGAGCCCTGCTGTGCTTGGACTGACTCTCTTGTGTTGCCATGTGCACCTGTGCAAAGTGATTGCAAAATGCTACTAGCCAAATGTTCCACTCACTAATGTACAGGGGCACAGTGGGCAAGATATCTCACCATAATTCCAGAAGCATGTCAAAGGCTGCCTCTGGTCCTCCTAGCTATAAATGACTAATTTGATCACTTGGGCCAGCTGAATCAATCAGATATGATGTTAGCCACACAACTCCCCTGTGTGCCATTGGCTACAGAAGCCCATGTGCCTTCTCCACTGAGCACTGCTATAAACAGACCAATGTTCTCAATAGACATACTTCTAGATTCAGGACAGCCAGGTATATAAAGTCAATGGATTAATGCAATAGGCAAAGTCAAAAGTGAAAAATAGGAATCTTGACTCTCCATCCCCTGCTCTAACTGGTAGATACACTGCTACCCTAAGCGAGAATATTTACCAAAGAGGAAAATGACGGCTGTTGTAGAAAGCCAGGGCTCTTCTTGCAAATTCAGTTCTCTGACAGTCTTTCAATTCACAATAACATGCCATTACAAATGGAGTTTCAGATATACTCTTGTAGTCTTGGGGCCCCTCAAAGGAGTCACCGAGTGAAAACAGTCTCAATTTTACTGTGTGGCAGGAAGAGAAAAGAGCTCTTTATGGGGTAATCCTGCCAGGAATCTGAGGCCTCTTAAAACCAGGCAGCAGGGAGTCACAGCCAGCGTGCGTTGGGAAAATCCAAGAACAGGCTGAATGGCACTGTTAGGAATGAGCTCAACAAAAGGCAGCTGGCTTCCCAGGCTGAAAGCGCCATGGCTGTTTTTTGCATTAGACAGGGCAAAAAGGGAATGGAAATCCAGAGGAAGTGATTCTGAGTCTCTGCCTCTCAGTCACACGTGCTCTAGCACCTCTGTTTGGGAATGACAGCAAAGGCTGGGGAAGGGTTTAGAGCATCATTGCTTGTTTCCATAGGAAAACAAAGCAGCGGAAAAACTCGCGTTCAGGAACAGAGCGTCCACACAGGAGTTATTACAGGCCTTGTTATAGCCACATTACTGTAGCCTGCAGGTCAAGATCCTAGTGCAGTAAAGCCTTCTAATACACTTTCCTTCCTGCTGTTTTGCCAACAAGAAACCATGTGATTGTAACAAACATGTTGCAGTCTTAGATTCATATCCTCCACGTGCCCTGTTTTAAGCCCCAGCCCGCTTTGAGCATCCACAGTTTCCTCCCTGACCCCCAATTTGCCTTGGCCCTCCCCAGTTCTTCCCTCAACTTCATCCTTGCCTGATCTCCCAAACACCTACCATGGCTCAGTGTGTCTGAGGAACCCCATTCAGTGTATCTGAGGAACAAGGAAACACTGATGGTGACAAAGCTTTATAAAGTTCTGAGTGCCAGGATCTGAGAGAGAAGACAGGCAGCCATCAGATGGGCACATGGGATGTCTTTGCAAACCGCAGAGCAGTTAGGTGATAGGCCAAGGACAAAGGCCTAGATGGCAACTGTGAATTCACAGCCCTGGAAGGAAATAAGACCAAGCTGGTTTTGCAATGCCAGTGCCTTTATTCCCTCCAGGGCTATTCCCCCTCACCTATGCCTTTACCTTCCTGGTATCCTCTCCTAAAGATATGGACAGATTTCTCTTTTGCCTGCTCCATTTCTCTTTTTTCCCAGTTCTGAACTTTTTCCAGGCAC